TTTCTAATGCACTCGTGATATGTATATACATATAACATTTATAAAACTGTTTAAATATAAAATTAAATTATTTTTTTAGCCTCAATTCCATCATTATGCTCATTTTTGCTCTTTAATTTTATTGTATTCTTTTTAGCTCTCAAAATTTGTAATATATATACAATTCTTTCTACAAAATCATCAATAAGTAAGGTAATACATGTTTCACCGAGTAATAGTATGATGAAGAATCAACCAAGTAGATACAATCTTTGTTTTGGACAAGGTGCTATCGTTGAACTTTGCTGCTAAATCATTGACCTTAAAATTCAGCAGGCCTACGATCTATGTTCAAGAAATTGGTAATAATCAGCGGTATGCACAAATCAACAAAAATTAGCAGTCCCATATTTATATGCAACAAATTATCATTCAGGTTCTTGTATTTACCAACAATCGGACTATCATTTCAATTTCCATAGAGTGTGAGGATCAGATTCTGATAAATTTTTTTAAAAAAGATGGATTAACTTCTCATTTTTCGTAAGAGGGATGGAATTCAGATTAGACCACTCTGTGCGCATAGGAATTATGGTTTAGCGAACACCGAAAAGGCTGTGCGTGTCTTGTTGAACTAGAAGCTGGGCTTTTTTCTTGGGCCCATTAACTCTCAACTAAACGAAAACAAAGATCATCACTATGCATCATATAGCCCATGGACTGAACATCTATTATTCAAAAATAATTAAATTTTTATTTACCAAGAAATTCTATATTTTAGGAGTTAACTAATTGTACCACTTTTTTTTTTTTAATTTGAATTTATTATATTGGGTATTACATAGATTTATTATAGGTGCAATTGTCATGGACCAAGTTGAAATAAATTTTTAGTTTTTTGGGACATTAATTGAGTATAATATTCTTCATCCGTCATCCATCTGAGTCGGGTTTAGAAAAAATATAACCCGACTAAAAAATTGATCTTATTTTTTAAATTATATATATATATATAATTTTCATTTTTATTAGGTAAAATAGAGGCCTAAATGAAAAAAAGACATAGAGAAGATTATAATCATGCTTAATAAATAAAGATCAATTATACATTATTTTCAAGAGAAGTATTATAATCATGCTTAATAAATAAAGATCAATTATACGATTATTTTCAGGTTGAGTATGTATCTTTTATCTTAAAACTCTACCGAATTCAAAATAAAAAATTCTTTAAGGTCGAGTCGGTTAAAACCCATCGACCATACTAAAATTTGAATCTATGACTTTATTCTTATTATCTCATCATGTTAGACAAACATGATAATTGATACCCAAAACATGTTTATAATTCATAAATAATTAAATACCAAAATTTAATTTTTTCCCTAAAATAGATAATAAATAAATAAATAATTGTTGAGATTCGGATGAATAATAAATCAAAGAGGCATTGCCCGTGAAATCCTGCAGAATCAAAGGGAGGATAATAAGCATAAACAGTGGGTTGTACAACCAACCAGTGGTACCAGAATCTGTAGTTTCTAAATGCCATCAATGACTACTGTATCAACCCATAAACCAGGGCAAAATCTTCGTTGTTCATATAAATTATCAAATTAAAATTAAAACTTTATGGTAAAAGCGGTTAAACCAAATTAATTCTTTACAGGGACTGAAACTAAAGTTTTCCCAATTAATAAAGAGCTAAGCAAAATTGATTTTTGTTTTAGTTTTTTTTTTACTTTTTAAGAGGTAATATGTATTTTACATTTAACCGAGGGGTCCAAGATTTGAAAGAATGGCTGAGTAAATGATGTGGGGAAAAAAATTCCCAATATAATCCACATCGGGTATTTTCCCATCTAGGGTGAATTGCACGTACCAATTAAAGACTCAGGTGCTCTACGCATCTTCAAGCTAAATATGAAGACTCTACGACTGCATGTCGTCTTTAGGCAAATAAAGAAGGCCCCATGACTGCGTGGCGTCTTCAGGCAAATAGAAAAGATTCCAAGAGTGCAAGACGTCTTTAGACCAATAAAAAACCCTAATTCATAAAATAATATGGTGGATATTTATATGAAAAAATCATTTTTCCACAACCCTATATGGCGAGGAAGCCACAAGATCTCTACCCACATATTTTTTGGATCATTATACTTTTATGAATCCAATATTAACCATATTTTTAATTATTTTAGTTAGAAATTATCCTCCTATATTTCGTATGATCCAATCTGAAAATTAAAAGAAAAATAAGAAATATATGGTGAATATAATTATACAAAGATTGTTAGATCGAATTTGTTAAAAATGCAGGGTGGAGTCTCTTAGTATAGTACATGTTTATTTTTTAGGGTTTTTTTTTATGTACGTACACTTATAAATATGCAACTAGGATTATTAGAAATTGTGTGAGAGATTTTTCACAATTTCTCTTATAATTTATTTAATATAAAAAACAATCCTATCTATATTTTTTTTTCATTTGAAATTTTTACATAAATCTTGTATTTTATTTTATGATGTCATTTATCTATCTATTATTATATTTCAAATTTCATAATAAAATCATATTTTTAATAACAATGAATGTTCATACATTATGATGTTCGAACTTGAAATTTCAATAAATAATAATTTCTTATTTATTAATGTTTAATTTGTGCCTGAGTATATTGGTTGGATTCATTTGCTGTAGAAATAAGTAAGAAGGGACGTACGAAACCAGGGCATCATTAAGCTTCCCGTGCTCAAATTTAAACGAGGGATACACAACTTTCACTCCGTAAACTTGATAGCCTCTTCTAATTTAGTCCCAAATCCTTTTCCGATTCACATTTCCAAATTAATCCCTGAACTAAAATTTTCAGCCATTTTGATGATGCAGACAAAAAATAGGAGTAATGTGGACAAAACATTACCAAATTCAGGGACTGAAAGATGATTTATAGCTTTAAACAACTATTCTTACTAGCAAGTATACATATAGGTTACACAATTGCTGTAGCAGCAGCAGCAGCCCTTAGGGTAGGGTAGGTTGAGTAATTAGTAAATGGGTAGGGTTTATATCATCACCACATTGGATTTCTCTCACAAATAGTATCATATCATAACCCTTTTTGAAAGCCAAACAATAAACAGTAAATGTCTTGAATCACATCGGTGTCACTGTGAAGCCTTCTTTTCATCCCAAAATTACAGTTTTTTTTCAAGGTAAATCTCGTTAATTTTTACCCTAAACCCCCAACTTACGACCACTTATATAGACAGAGTTACGTTTTATATATATATATTAGCTTCAGAATCGTTTAGAAAAAGAAACGTTTGTCACTTGTTGCCATAGCATAAAATCATAGTTAATTACATAAACAACACAATCTTTCATTTAAAATCCGGAGTTTAATTCAATTTGTTAGAACAAACAACCTTTTTTTATCTCTAAACAAAAGAAATTAAGTATTACATATTGAAAAGAGTGAAAAATATTAATGTGTATTTATGTGTGTTTTTTCAAGTGCTTTTGATTAGCACTCAAGGTTTCTTAATTAATTAAGATCATGCACCTTATAATATGCACCAAAATGTATGGTTCGCCCATAATGTTTTTCTTAATTATTTCAAACTATAAAAGGAAAGCCATCCTACAAGGAGAATAAATGAGGAGTCCACTCCATATGCATTTAACTTTATCAAGGAATTACTTCGATTCTAGACACATTTATGTAGAATACAACCATTAATATATATCTTTCAAGTACAAGTATATATTCCACTTTTTATTTTCTATATTTTTCCATTAGGGGCATCAATTTTTTCTCTCATTCGAAACTCTCAGTTGTCCAACAATCACGAGTCGACTTGAATCAAAACCCTAAACGGGAGGACAAAAATTTTCCCCAAAACTCTTTTTTCATCTAAGAATATAATTATTGGGGCATAATTTTTCATGCATGGAGTTAGTGTAATTATTCCTTTACCATAAAAAATAAAAGCTTGCATTGCTTTCTAATTAAAGTCATTATCATTTAAACACCTATTTAAAGATGCTTCCCCACACAAAGTATTTAGTTTTACCATCTCATAGAGCTTAGCCCATACTTTTTAGCCATATAGCTATGAACGATTCCCATGCCATAATTTTTTTTAATTAAAAATGTATGCCGCACCTAACCAAGGGTTTTATATATATTATCACACACAAACACAAAGAAAAGATCCCATAAAGTTTGTGCACAAGTGCATGGAGATGAACTTGGCAAAACATAATGCAAAAATATCCAATGAATATTTAAGTCTTTCTATGCAAATGTGCCAAACGATGTTTAGATGCGTCCGGTGATTACATAAATTTTGATTAAATTTAGAGTTGAATTAGGTTAAACTATATTTCAAAAATAAATTTATTCGGTTTCATTTTAAGATTTAAACTCGAAATTTTACTTGTGTACATTAAACTCTTATCATTCGATCAATATATATTTTACGTACCCTAATTTTGATTCCAAAATTAAGAATATATATGCACATGTGTGTGTAAGGTAATCATCTTAAACATGTTAACAAGTGCTTTAGTTTTGTTTTTGTCAGGCGGTGGGATGGTTCCTAAACCAGCAAAGAACCGGATAAACAGGAAGAAAGTGGCTTTGAAGTTCATAAACAAATCAAGAAATATATCAAAATGCAGATTCAAGCTCAAACTTCATGTGGGAATATGAATAAAATAAGCGAACAAGAAGACAAAACAGCAAACCCCAATCTTTAGTTTCGCCTGCAGTTCCAAAATATTTCGGACAAGGTCATATAATTGCAGGCTTTGGAGTTTTAAATCACTTAATTATCTCCTTCTTCTTTAGTTTTGTTGGTTGAATATATCAGATAATGCACCTACTGTGCACTAGGGCAACTTCAATGAGCTGCTGTAGATTAAGATTTTCTCGAGAGAAAAAAGGGTTTTTTTCCTTTCTTTTTTTGATTGATTTCCCCCCGATTCCCGTATACAAGATGTTTGATTCTTGTTTTCTTAAGATTTTGGGTGGAGGAAAATTGCGTACCGGAAGATGACATGAAAGCACTAAAAGGAGATGCGTAAGCGAAAGGAAGCAGGGTTTCAGCTGCAACTACTGAAGTTGGAATGGTGGTGGTCGTGGTGGTGTTAGTCGTCGCCATCGTTAGATCGGCCACTTGCATTGAATTGATTCGGCGGTTGCGACGCGACGGCTGAGGAGGAGTCTCCGGGAGGAGCATTCTCCGAGTGAGTAATGACCTTGATCTGCTCCTTGATCATAGAGAAACCCTTGAATACGTGTCCTCCGATCGTCACCGCCGTTCGATAAGCGTACTGGTCGGCCGCGTCTTCGATGGAGCTCACTCGTACACAACGGAACGTCGCCGGCGATGTCACTTCCACCGGAAAATACCCCACTTCTAACCCTAAAAAAACACACACCCCATAAAGGAAAAAAATAGAAAATAAAAGAAATTTCAAATCAATTTACACCAATGAATAGTTCATGTACTTGTTCAAAAAAACCTCACTCCCCAAAAGTAGAAAAAAAGAAACAAAAAGAGGGAGAAGAAAGCTGCTAGGGTTGCAATGAACTGTGTGTAAACATATAATATATATGTGTGAGTGTGTGTATGTATATATATGCAAAACAATAACAGCAAAAGGCAAAGGTGGTGGGTTAGTGTTTTTACCTGAAGAAGGATTATTTTTCCTAAGCCGTTTAGGGTTATTAAGCAAAGGGATTGGGAGAGAAGAGAATTGTTGTTGTTGCTGCTGCTGCTGCTGTTGATGATGGCGGTTCTGTCTCCGATAAGCCGGAACCCAAGTGCTCTTTACGTGTGTCCGACACTCGAATCCTTTGCTCCGGCAACAAGTCCTGCACCTCATGTAACCACAATCTTTCTTGGCTATATTCCCACAATCTTGACACCTTGTGCCCCCAAGGCCTCCTTGCCTCAACGACATCATCATCAACCATAACACAAAACACCCATTTTTCTTCTTTCTTCTTCTTCTTTCAGTTTCACTAAATCTCGTTTGCTCTTTTTATATACATATATAAGTATGTATGTATACATGTATAGTACACTGAGTGACAAGGTGTAGGTAGGTGGTAGAAATGATGCCTTTGTGGTTTTCTCTCGATGACCTTTGTCTGTTTGGGTTAATTAGACATTGATATTTTTGTTTGGGGTTCATGGCTATTAATTTTCCAGGGAATCTCTCTGTTCTGAATTCATTTATTTATTATATAAAAAGATTAAAGAATTCAAGAATTAAGAATTGGGATCACAGTAAGGTTTTAAAGGCCGCCATAGGATCATCTACTCAAACAAAATGTTGTTGAATTGATGAAATCACTCTCTCGGAAGAGACATTAAAAAAATAATATATATATATATATATATATATATATTTTTTCTCTCATTTTATGTCTTAGAAGTGACATTGATCACGAAAAGTTGGGAAAATATTAGGAATTAAAACAAAAACAAAACCTATTCCGCCATGTTTTTTTCTCTTTAGATTATATTAGAGAAAACAGATGTAATAATTTAATGTCCAAACCAGTGTGGGGTACATGGTCACGGTTGCATGATAGGTTGAATAGTAAAGAATTGGATCTCTCTCAAGACATGTAATCAAGAGTTTGATATTATGAACGAAGAAAAAACAGATAATTTTTAATTCGACATAATTTAATTTTAGATATAATTAAAATTCATATGATTATTGAATATGAAAGCTTACGAACTGTGAAACTGGAGAAGGAGGTGGTCATTTGATCTAATAGCTCGTAAAATAATGTGATCAAAACTCGTGTGATTATCGAATATGGAATATCTATGTATAAAAAGAAACCTGGATGGGGTGGTCCATAAGCTCTCCAATTGAGCTCTCTCAGGTATAAAGAAGAGTGGGGGGTAAAATTTAAAGAAGTGAGGTGACATATTTCACTTTAGAAATGTCCTTGCATCCCCAAAACCCGCCTCTACATCCCATCCCACTGTAACTTCAGATTAGGGCTAGATCCCCTTCACTGCCTCAAACCTCTCTAAAATTTTGACCTATTTACTTAGTTCATGTAAAGATATAGAGTGGTGTGTGTATATATATATATATCAATAATACTAATTACAATGTAAAATTATTTAGTTTACATTAAATTTAATATTGTTAGATTACTAAAAATAGATAAGTGAGATTAATAATAGAAAACAAGATATTTATTAAAAAAAATAATGAGTTAATCTCGACCATTTTTTCACTCATTAACATTTTAAATTTGTGTAAAATTAAAAGAGTTTTACACTATGTAAGTTTTACACTATGTAAATGGATCATAGTTAATATAGGGTTAGGTTCCGCTTACATTATTTACACCTTAAAATTTTACACGTGTTCTAATTGTTAAATAAATGAAATCGGATAACTAAAATTAAAATATATAAGTTTTATACGATATCATTAGATCATCTTTCTCAAGTTTTACACCTAAAAGTTTTACCAAATTTCTCTTGAAAGAATAAAAAACCGTTAATATCAGCACTTCATGAAAACTGAAAATTTAATCTTTTTATTTTAATTTATCAATTTAGTTATCGTATTTTATGAAAATTAGGAAATTATTCCAATATAATAACACCGTTGAACTTTGATATTAAACTACTAACCTAGAAAATCAATATTCGAACGATTATACTAAGGAACTCAAGGAGTTGTTCCAATGACAGAGGGTGACATGTTCTTTAAATGATTTAAATTCAAATAATTTCTATAAGATACGTGTAAATTTATCCCAAAATATATATATATATATATATAATAAATACTATTATAAAACTATCTCGAGAATGATAAAATAAAATAACAAAAATCAACTGTTCAATTTCATGTCTTTGTCAATAATTATGAATCTATTATTTTCATAAAATACAAAAATAAAATTTTGATAAATAAAAAATAATGCATGAAAGAAAAAGACCCAAAAAGACTAAGACATTGACCTTGCAACTGGTCCAAATCTTACCAGTCTTGGGATTTAAGTTTTTCACTGTCTCAAGATTTTTATCGAGACCTACACAGCTTTAATATACGGTTAATAAAAGATATTACAGGAAATGTTAATATTTTTTAAAATTTTTAATAAAGCGATACTTAAAACATTTTTTTTCTACTGTAAATGTTAATATTAAGCGTTACATAAAATATTATTTATCTACCGGAATTAGGTAGAAATTAACATTTCTGATAAAAATTAATATTTTAAATAGCGTTTTATCAAAAATATTAAAAAAATATTAATTTTTGATAAAATATTTATTAACCGTATATTAAAATTGTTGTACAGCAAAACTACCCTCCCTATTTCCTTAGTTTTGGGGGAAAAAGTCTGCCACTCTTTCTTATCAAAATTTATGTTTAGATTCTTTACAACATTATTCTTTTAAAAATTAATTTTCAGTTGTTTATTCTAATTATTTTATTTTAATATTTAAATTTATTTTTTTCAATTGTATTTAAAAAAATATATGTTATACTTTTTATGCTATTTCTAAATGTATTATGTAAATAAACTCGTTAAAGAATCGGATATCACCAACGGGGTTGATTCAAAATGGTAACTAACTTGATATCGCTTAAGCATGTCTTAATTTTGAATTTGTGTATACAAAAAATTCTCGCTGAGAGACTCATCTACCAAAATTATGTGTGCGATCTAAATCGGTCTATTAATAACGAAGAAACCTTAAGAACCACAAGGCATATATATATATTGAATATCCATTCAAGTCGAAGTTTCATTCAAAAAATAACGAGATAAATAAAAATACATTAAATCAGGAAATTTAAAAACGAAAAATAGCACTAATATTATACTTTTTAATAATATGAATTGACCTGAAATAAATTTGAGTCGATCATTATAAATATAAGCCGACTTTAATAAAATTTGAGATTCATTTATTAAGTCAGATCAAACTTTAATAAACATGAAGTATGACAATATTATACATAAATTTAGTCGAACTCATAAATGTTATTAGGAATAAAATAAATTAAATTAAGAGAGCCATCTTTATAATGAAACTATGTAGTAATCGATCTAAATTAATCAATCATTAAATCAAATATTAATAATTAAATCGAAATAAACAAAGCAATTATGTTTATCCAAAAAAATTTATGATTATAATCGAGGACGAACACAAGATTTTATGTTAGGGTATGAATGTCGGAGGGACAAATTTATAAATTTTATGGATGGCAAAAATAATTTTCAATAAAAATACATAAAACAAAATCTAAAAATATAATATTTTTAAATTTTCAGAATGCAACTGTCCCGCTGTCCTCCTTAGTCCATCTATAGATATAATGATAGTAGTTATTTGAAATTTTGGATACTAATAGTTAATTAAATATATAATTTTTATATATAATTATAATATCTGATTTATTAAAAGTATAATTTGAATTTAAAATATAATAAAATAAAAATAGAGTAATATTAGTAATATTATATTCTTATATTATGCTAATATAAGAATAATATAAAAATATTAATAAATATTTATAATTTTTTAAAAAAGGAAATTAGGTTTGTAATTGTAAAATAAACTTCAAAAATATATTTTAACCAATTCATGAAAAATGTAAATAAAAGTATAACCCCATGTGAAAATGTCTGAAGATAAACTGTACGTACATCACCATTTCCTTTTGGTTCATTAGTACATCCCCGTTTCTAGCAGCTACCTATGTTGAATTGACCCATCTTTATCCAAAAACAAAGTAAAATAAAATGGAGGGTCTTCATTAAGGTTGGGCTGGTTTTTTTGTAATAATGCGGTCGAAAAATAAAATTGTTTGAATAGTATATTCGAAAGATTATTTGTTCGAATGAAATAAATGTTACGTTATAGAACAGATTACATTGTACTTCCCGCGTCTCCCCAAAATCGCAAACATGCGACTCCCCCCTCTCTGATCACCATGCATCTTTCTCCCAATTTTATACTACATTGCAAAATTAAAGGTTGTAATAAGCATTCAAAAAGACTAAAATATTAAATATGCAATATGGGGGAGGGGGGTCGCATGATGATCTGGGGGAGTCGCATGGTGTATCACGTCACCTTGGGAGACGTGAAGATTTCAATGCGACTCCGTTCTATACTATAACATTCGTCTCATTTGAATAAATAATCTCTCGGGTGTACTATTCGAATAATTTTTTCCACTATATTATTGCAGAAATTCATCCAAAAGATTATATATTAATGGATAAATATTATTTATATAATCATCGATATTCGAGATATTCATTAATTTAAATCAAATTTTATAAAAAAAATTATTATAAATATTAATGTTATTTTCTCTATTCATAATGTCGATTTTTTTTCTTATTTAAATGACAATCTTATCTTGGTTGGGGTGGATTGCAACAAAGAAAATCAAAATTCTCCCCAACAATAAATCAAAATATTTGGATAAATATTATCTTTACGATCGATTCTATTCTATATAAAAACGCTCATTAATGATTATTCTTTCACTAATCGTAATTCTCCGTCTTAATCAAATATATAAACCATTCACAATTAACGAGATCAATTTATTTATTTAATATAATAGATTTAATCGATCAGGTTTCCCTTGATTCTAAATTATACTAGAAGTCATGAATATTTTAAGTTTAAAATCCGTTGAATAAACTATGTTTTGGAAAATGGCAAAGTGAACCGATCTGTGAGAGCTGATGTTTGGAAACGATGAATCAAAATTTGCCAAAAATATGTGGGCAAATTGTACGGTCAATTTTGCTGTGCCCAACACAAACTTTTGTTTACTCCCGAGCTGATTTTGGAAACGATGAATCAAAATTTGCCAAAAATATGTGCAAATTGTACGGTCATTTTGCTGTGCCCAACACAAACTTTTGTTTACTCCCAATTTTATTCCTTTAATCATTCTTTAAAATATCGAATTCCAATTTAGCGA